CACCATGCAGTGTCGAATCTGTGTCTACATTTTAATTTCTTCTTTTCTACATTTCTGATCATTTTTTTGGTTTCTAGTGCATATTTAGATATAAATTACCCAAATATCTGAATACTTTCAGATAATCATTGACACACTATTGTTTGTTTTACTATGTCTTTGCTTTCTTCATTTTCAAGTATCGCGTGCATTTTTCACGCGGTAGTTTGTGTCGTTTGCTTTTTTATAGATATTATTATTAAAACATATTTATTATGTTTGTTTCTTAATTTGATATCATTTTATTGATGGTGGGTTGTATTTTTTATTATGTTTGTTCCTTAATTTGATATCATTTTATTGATGGTGGGTTGTATTTTTTAATGCTTCTATGCTTCGTGATACAGATCGTTTATGTTATTGGTAAGGATATGATCTACTAACAAATAAATGGCACGTTAAATGGCTCGATTATGTAGTGGCCATGAAACCAATACATGTTGCTTGACTTGTTATTTTTAAAGAAGCATTCTCCAAGTGGACAAGCAAATTCATAGACAACTTTGGTTTGTTAAAGTTTAAATTTTTTTTGTGTCGTTGTAGTTTGAATAATATATTTGCACGTATTAAATAAGAAATAAATATTTTAAATATCTAACAATCTGGTGTTAAAATTTCCAGAATAATTACTTGAGGTAAAATTTTGTTGAAAATCTAAATTTCAAAGTAAAACTTATTATTATTGATGGTGGCGGTTATTGAAAAACAATAAAGAAAAACAAGAAATGAAGACAAAAATTATTGAAACTCAAAAGCAAAAAGAAAAAAGTAAATCAGACGAGAACGAAATAAGCATAAAAATGTTTGTATTTTTTGTCTTTTACTTTCATGTGTTTCCTTTTTCCCTTTTCTACCATTCATTTATTCTTATTCTTTTTTTTTAGGAAGTGAAGGTTTGATATAGCAGCTATAAAGTATGTTTCATTAAGAATGTAAAGAATATAGTTCATCTAATTTTACAATGAGAAAGATTGATTATCAATGTAGGCCGAGGCAAATTAAAGTTTTCACAGCACATATAACATGTTTATGAATAAAAAGATTAAATTATATAATCATATATATTAATGCGTACACATAGATAAATATATTCACACCCATGGATTCATAGAAACTAACAGGGGGTCAGATATCAACGTTAAAATGTTTACAACATTGGTACAATTGATAACTGTCATTTTTTTTTACTCGCCGATTTTCCCGACACTTGTTATCTCATTACGACTGCGAGAGTTCATCCTTTTACAATTCAACTATCATACAATTGATGAATTAAAATCTCGAATTAGAGTAATACAGAGAATTCGATGTATGTCATAAATAGAATACGAAGCCGTTTGGAGTTTTAAAAGGTATAATTCTTTGGATGTTTCTGGTGATTTTTGTTCAAATTCCAGATCCATGTTGAATTCTTGTTGTTGTTGAAATAAAAGTTACAAAGGGAAGAAGGAGACAGGGACACTGGAAATGGATTTAGGAACTTTATTACAACGTTCTGTTGAAGGGAAATGCCTTCCCGAGCAAATGACATGTGTTTATCAGGTGAAAGTTCAGGGGAAAAGAGAGCGATTCTTCCCGATGGTCTTTGGCGCCAGGAAGCCCCACTTTATTTGCGCATGCGCTATTTGTTCTTCCAGTCAGGGAACATCCTGGAAGATTCTTCTTTTTTCTTTTGTATTTCTTTTATTTTGTGTTTTTTAATTTAAGTACAGGCGTACGCGTTCACCTACAATATTTGTAAGCCAGATACTGACAACATATTTTGATAAAGTCGGTATTGGGAACGGGTGACGAACTAATTGCTCACTGTATCAAGAAGTCTTAGTAAGAAACTGATACATATTCGAAAAACAACCGAAAGTATAAACATAATTTAACTAAAACCAATTAACTTTTATTGTCCAAACTCTCGAAACTCAACAGCTGACGATCACAGATATAATTAGTGCACATCTATGTACAAATGATACTGATTCAACCACAGGCGACTTATTTGAAAACTGGCGACGAAAAAAAATAATGACGTGTCAGTTACATATTGTAAAGGTACAGACACAGAGATACGCGTTTCATTGAATAAAAAGAAACTTTTAAAATAAAATCCAATCATTTATTCCATCTCTACATCATTGAAACTAAGAAAATATCTACGACTTTAATATGTTCGACAACGTTAAGATAAAAACTTAAAATATATTTTTGCACAATGTCAGAACAATTTCATTTCTTTTTTTTCTCATACATAAAAAGCTATAGTTTTCTATTTGCTGCTGAATTTAAAGTAATAAGAAAATCAGACAAAAACAAAATTCGGCAGAGATTAATTGATAACTCAAAAGCTATTTAAACTCAAGTCTTAATCTTGGTGTAGAATATACATATTTTGGAGAATCCTGTAAAATCACATTTTGAAATGACCTTTTATATCCTTTATAAACAAGTGGAATTATAAGAATACCGATTCAAATCTTTTCGTAAAAATCTGACCACTTCACGTAATGGATCATTCTTAATATTGAGGAGTCTACAGTCAGTATTGCATATGCTGAGCATGTTTAACAGTTGAACAAGCGTGAGGATTAGTGCTTGCAACAACTGAATGAACCAATTATTTATTACATTCGAAATACACTAAAATTCATAGATATAAACCTGATCTTTAACATTTGCTTAGTCGGGCAAAAAACTGTAGACTAGGTCATTCAGTTTATTACGCTTATTTATCATGAATTTAAGTACCCGTTTATATTGCGTCAGAGGTCACTACTCCGATCGAAGCTGCTTATAACGACAGTAAGCTAGTAAGTGTTGATTTCCCCAGAGGCAAGCTATGTGAAACTATTAGATAAATATAGTGCTGAAAAGCGGTTTTACATAACTTTTAATACGAAGGTGAAGCCAATGAATATAATTAAGAAATGTCTATTTCACAAACTTTGTTATTATTATATTAATTTACAAACTTTGTTATTAATTATTATTCTTCACTCAAGGCATTTTCCTCACTTTCATTTTAACTTGATGAAGCCAAAGAGAGAAAACGCTCTCGGAGAAACGCGTCGTTAATAAATTTTCAATTTTGTCTCATCTTCACTTTTGTTTCGGATCCTATTATACATCACACACACACACACACACACACACACACACACACACACATAAGATAATGTTAATAAGAAGACGGAGACTATCCATTTTGTTTATAATTTTTATTTCGTGAACACCGAGATGTTCAACTCATTAGAACGAAACCTCCTCCGCAAATGAAGAAAGTACACCGGAGGGATACGTTAGATTGGCAGTGGGGAGGGAAGGTGAGAGAGAAGGGATGAGTAAAGATAGGTCTATGAGATTAGTGGTTAGTAGTGGTCGGTTTCCGCAGCCAAGAATTTACTCTATACTTTTAGATTTTAATATTGGGTTGTATGTTTCATTGCCCGATAACGTTTGCTGTTTTTATGCAGGATAAAGCAGATCGATTCAAATTAATTTAATTAAAGGGATCTTAATCTAAATAAAATTCGGTATTAATATAATAATACTTAAGCATTTGTTTTTTTAGGCCGAAGTCTGATAGTGGAGGGGAACGCAAGAGGGAGATATAGAAGGAGTGTAAGGCTTGGGGAAGAAAAAGAGTGAGAAGGGAAAATCGAGGTAGTGGTAGCTTTAGCAAACCTGACCTGTCTAGATATTTCTTAATTTTTGGAACTTTGTAAATGGATTATACAGTGGGTTGATTGTTATGAAGTACAAATGATAAGAAAGTACAAATGATAAGAAAGTTGTATATCGGCAAGACAGTCTTAGGTCCTACCATGTGTCTAGAAGTTCACAAAAAGTAACCAGGTCGTGTAATATCACGTACGCACCTATGCACATACGTGTTCCAATCTACATATCCACACATGAATGTACACCCATATGTAATACTATTCTTACCAACGAACCACAGCTTCACGTATCATCCTTCCAAAATCCATGCTGTAAGCGTTTTTAGGGGATTTTAAATCTGTCTTTATGTCGTTTCATTGGTTTAATAATTGGTTAGCATTTGTGTACTTGATTATTGCGATTTTTCAAGTATACACAGAACGCATCTGTCCTGAAAGTTTTTGGCAGTTCTGGACCGATAGATGATTTCCAATTTGATTATTTGGGTGACGTTATTATCCTTAATTTTCCAATAATGTTTGGATAGAGCGGTTTGGTTTCTCAGGTTAATATTTCAGAAGGAATATCGGTGGTTGTATAGCCTTTGTTTCCAATTTCCGGCGCATATTCCTATGTATATCTTTATGCCCCTGGTGTTTTCTCTCGGGAAAATGGTATACCACATTTTCCGAATTACATGTGCCTTCGACTGGGCAATTGGTTCCGGTTTTACAGTTACAAGATGGTTTTAACCTTGCTGTTTTGCCGTCTTGGGATGCTTTTAATATTTGACTGTTGTGTGTAGTAATAATGTTCTGCATGTTTCTGGTGCAGGAGTAGCTAATTTTGAGGGTTCTTCTGTTAAAGATTTTCTTTAGAGGGTTGTCTTGGTTAAAGTGCTTAAGAAGTGTCTAAGTATAGCCCTATCTTTACCGATACCGTCCCTCCCCACTACCAACCTAATTATCTGGTGTACTTTCTCTTTTTGCGGAGGAGGTTTCACTCTGATGAGTTGAACATCTCAGTGTTCACAAAATAAAAATTATAAACGAAATGAATAATTAAAGTATCTGTCTTCTTCTTATTATTATAATGATCTGTAGTTTACATTGAGCTCTCTCTCTGGATTTATATCCTCCTCGGAATTATCTCTTCCATTCACAAACTGGTAAAACGTGTGTATATATATATATATATATATATAAGAAATCACAAAATACCTTTTATTGTTGTGCCAACATTTTATTGCTTTATAGAACATTTGATTAAAACAGTTGAATAACTCACGATGATATGATATTTTTCTTTAGTGGGATTTGGTTTGTGGTCGAGAGAATCTGGCTGATGTCATCATTAGTGCCTACAATGTTGGCAAACTGATTGGAGCTTACATTTTGCCGACGTTTGCAGACAAATATGGTCGAAAACCAATCTACATCATTGCACATATATTGTTGTCCGCTGTAAACATCATCAGTACGTTTGCACCTTCGTACATATTTTATTTGTGCTGTAAAACAGTGGCTGGCTTCTTTGAATCCGTAAGTAAAGGAAATGATTGATTCGTAAATTTGTTGAAGTCTATAGAACAGTAATGAATGCCTTTGACATTTTTCTATGAAATTCAGTAAAAATTAGAATGCTAAATAGATTATAAAATATCTTCTCCTCCGCTTAAAAAGAAAAGAAAAGAAAAGTCAGACGAAGGAAAACAAAACAAAGAATGGTGATATTTTAAATGAAGTCCATAAGGTCTTTTATCGGTAAATATTGATGGGCTCTCACAAACAAGTCATTTGTGCACATTGCCAGATTAGTTTGAAAATTTATAGCCTAACTAAAATGAAAATATATCAGTAAAACAATTGTATCAAATCAGACAAATCATGCACCTTATATTGGCCAAGAAAATGGATATTTTTGAATTCGACTAAAAAATAATGAAAGTAACATTTTCCTTTCAATTGTCTTTTATCGTTCGTCTTCTGGATTAAAACGAATACTTAGTTATCTTATTCAACAATATGTGCGAGATCATTATCGCAAAACGTCAACAGAGATTCAACAGCATTAAGACGAATTTGGTTTCATTCTCCAGAGAAAATCAAATATAATAATTAAGTAATGAAGTAATAACTGATAACTAAGTGAAGAGTTGAACTATTAGCAACGGATATCATAACTGAGCGGCATAAATCGAGTGGATCAAGGAGGAGACTAAAACATTTATTTCGTCTCGGAAACAAAGTGTTTGGTAACTTCCGAATTTGCTTCATATCTGCATACAGATAGAAAATGAATTAAATGAATGTACACAAACATAGAAAAAGTGTATGACAAGGATGTGTGCATTTATTCAACCTCTCTGGAGCGACTATGCTAAGGGAGCTGGAGAAATTACCAGGATTTATTATCGGTCGGTCTAATCTTAACACTGTATTGATGGAAGACACAGACAAAGCTACAGGACCTCCTAGACAGGTTAGTGAAGAAAAGTGAGAAGGGACAAATTATCGACTGTAAGAAAACAGAAAGTGGTTGTCAGTAAAAGAAAAAGCCCAAAATGCTAACTACGAATTGCAGATGTCAAGATGAAACAAATACAGAAGCTTAAATATGTGGGGAGATTGGAAAATTAGATCAGGGAAAAGATGCTTTCGAAAATCTAAAAAAAAGTACGAAGAAAGAGGAAAAATTCGTTAGAAACAAATAAAAGAGTGCAGAATTATCAGCCAGGGATGGGAATGCTAGACTGTCTGCTCACAGATGAAAACTGAAGGCAACAGAAATATGGTTCTACAGAAGGATGTTGAGAATTTTATGGATGATGCGAGCAAGCAACGGAGAAGTCTTTTGAAAAATGGAAACAGAAATGAACACTTATACTCAGAACCAGAACGAGACAGGTGATATTTCTTGGACATATAATGGTGAAGGTTTGGAAAATTTAACACACACATGGCATATCGAGAGCAAGAGGTAATTCCTTTCATTATTCACCGGTTACCGTACGTTCACCAAAGTTAAGCAACATCGAGACTGGTCAGTAACTAGATGGATGTGCGGATGGTGTAATCCATAATGGCTTAGAATTGTCAATCAGAGAGCCGAGTTTCAGTTGCTGTTCTGTTCCTTATATTCACTTATGCGCAAATACCTTTGGAAAATCTATGAGACCACCTGTTCTTCCTCAGCTATGGGTTAATTAGTAAGACTTGTATTGCTAAAATATTATTATGTAAAAAATTCTTAAATTCAAAAAATAGTTTCTGGTTTTAAATAAACTGCAAAAGGTTGATAAGCCGTTGAAAACAAATCAAGCAAATCAAGCTTTCATTATTAACTTTTTGTCATTTTTTTCCATCATTTTATTATTTTTCCTTCTCCCATTTCAGGTCAAATATCCTACGACCATTAAAGTAACGTTATATTGAAATAAACAGGTTCACACTGCTCTAATGATTGGAAGGCGTTCAACTGACAAGACAGTGGTAAAGAACAACAATACGATGAAGAAAACTAGTAAAAACAATAATGAAAATATCTCAAGATTTATTTGATTTGATTTCGAGAATATCAAAAAGTAAATGTTATTTTATGAATTAAGGATTAGATTAATATTTTTATTTTAGCAATTCATAAACTGATCATGTTTTAGATGCTCACTGTTAAGGTAAAATTTAGTGCATTTTAAATTAGTCAAAAGTTGTTGCGAAAATCTTTAAGGCTTTCTCCTAATAGAAATTTCGTGTCAAAATATCTGTTTCTCTTTCTTCGCCAGGGAATGGCAATTTCAGGGCCGATCATGCTAACAGAACTGTTTCCAGCTGAAAATCGAACTCTGATAATGATTATTGGTGGAATAGCGTGGTCTGTATTCGCCATGCTTCTACCTCTTGTGGCTTATATCATGGAACCTTTCGGCTGGCGCTATCTCAATACATTCATTGGCATAATGTCTACTTATACAATTTTTTTAATATGGTAAGTAGTTAAAATAAAAGTTTTTAAGTAAGTTTTTAGTCTTTAGATATTTACTAAACGAAGATTGTGTTGCTCCAATATTTTCATCTTTTGAAAATCTTTTTATTTACAATTCACGTTTTGCTTTGCCCGAGGTTCGTAGGCTATCCTGTATGGATCGAACTCACTATCAATAACTTGCGAAACTAAGTTCCTAACTTTTGCTAGGGAAGAAAAATAAGGTCCAAATTATAATTAGGAAGATTGTGAATCGCCAGACTTACAAGTTAGAAATACCCACTTGTCTTGTAAATCAGCATTCGCATTTTTTTGTTTTTTGTCTGGGTTGAACACCTGCCACTGGTGCGAATGGGAATTTCTCAACTGTCAAAACCAGAAGGTATTTACTCAATTTAACTTATTCTCATATAGAGTCACGGTGTAATAGGGTAGCACAGCTGATAATAATCAAACACTAGCGAATGGATTGCGAGATTAACTTGTTCAAAATGCTCTACAACAGGCATCCTTTGTTTTTATTGTATAAATATTTATGACAAGTGATCGGCAAATTTTGTTGACAAATTGATTTCTCCTGAAAATAAAAGGATATTTCTTATATATATGAAATCAAATCTAACTATAATTAAAGCTTGATAGAGAATGTAACATACAACAATGATTAACAAGCGTCATAATTTATAAGCTATTGCTATTTCAAGAGTATTACTTTGTGTCAAATATCAATATTATGGCGTTAAATTATTCCACGAAGGTTCGAGTTTAACGCAAGTTCGCGTGCGGCAAGACACCGATACTCTTCATTCGATGGAAAAGAGAAAAATATCAACTTTATAAAAGAAATCAATAAACATTTGATATATGCGAAATATAATCATGACATAATATTTATTGGTCGGGGCGCCCATTGTAAAAAAGTACAGTGAGCATATTTGTCTTACATCTTGTAAGACAAATATGCTCACTGCACTTGATTGTAACTGAGTCACTAATTTAGTTGCTTCATGGAATTTAACACTAATCAATTGAATTTAACATTGATAATTTTGTCCGTATATAACTTTTCATAGTAGGCCTCCTCATCAGTTGTGGGCGTTTGGAACCAGTTACATATCAGCTTTGAAATGTTAATTTAAAGAAGTGATATCCCCAGAAGATTAGCGCTACACAATCATATTGCTTTATTAGAATATCAGTGATTTTGTAAAGCGAAATGGTTTAAATTGAAAGTAAATGTGTTCATTAATGACTGTTCTATAACTGGTTCTTGTACCTTATAACGCTTAGCTTCTACTTATTTCAAATTGTTTGTTATATATGCTTACAGGACGTATAACGAATCATTACGTTGGCTGTTGGCTACAAATAAGTGGGACCGGGCAGATTCATTGATCAAAAAGATATGTTGCACCAACAAAGTAGATTATCATACGATAGAACCACTTCTTACATACCGATGCAAGCTACGAAAGAATGATAAAGAGGAGACCGAAGAAAAAGCAACTGAAGATATAAACACGTCATTGATCTCTTTGAAGAATTCTGTGGATAATGAACAAAAGGAACCAGAAGAGAAAAAAAACAGATGGATTCCCGGGGTAGTATATATCTTTCTCAAACCCACTCTACGTAGTATCTTGCTGGTGTGTATGTACTTATGGTAAGCATAATTTTTTTTTTTAATTTAATTATCCAATCAAAGGTATGTTTATTCAGTAAAATAGCCTATAGGAAAAAATAAAAAGACAACGATTAGGTATTTTGAATATATGTAATGCATATTTATAAGAGATTTACTGGTATATATTTTACCAGTAAGTGAATCGATAATGGTTGGTTAGGATGAGAATTGATGTGGTTGTAATTTACCAATGAGAGTCAATTACAAGTGTTTGAGGAAGGAATATAACAGAGTTACATATGCTGATTTTACAAGTGAATGAATCTCTGGGTTGTGCCGGTTGAAATGGAAATTAACATGAGAAGTCTGGATAGCCAAGTCAAGTAATTTTAATTTTATTAGCATTCCAGAATCACCATGACTTCTGTTTTTTATGGTGGGCTTTTGGAGAAATGAGAATCATTTAATTACAAGAAAATGAATTAATACCTGGAATAGTCTGGATTTGAATTTGTGAATTAACAAGGTTTTAATTAGTACAATTGAGTAAAATAAGGAATAAACACTTCTCATTCTCAGTCGTCGCTGAAAAAATGACAATTGAGATAATCCAGCTAGTCCTAACCTAGGTCGAAATTTGCATGAAATTCAAAATTAGTGCTTCGATTCTATATTGTCATCGCTAATTCGCCTACGCCCACTAAGGAAGATGAAATCATCAAAAGCCTTCCCTGTTACTATGCACGTAAAGCTTAGGAGAAATAACAAAAAGACAACATTTATTAAGAGGTACGACGTATAGGAAATAGTGGAGAGGCATGATCGCCAACATCCTGAAGGGATATGGCACATAAAGAAAAATACAAGGTTTAACCTGTAACAAGCAGATGGGACAGAAGTGCAGAGCAGTCAGAAGAGTAGTTCGGGACAATCGCCATCGCCAGTGATGCATGACGACAAATAGTAGCAAGAGCATTTCACATCACCACCATTCTTAGCCACCTACTCCACCACTTCTTGCCTGAGAATAATTTCAACTGAAGAGATTTTCCCAGCCTAAGAGTTTTCGTTTGCAGATGTATGTAACAAGGAAAGGTTTGACGACAAGATGTAGTTCTAAAGAAAAAAGAAAAAGACTATCAACTTATAGTAGCAATAATCGTCTGCAATAGATTTCTTCTACCTCTCAACAGCAACACTTGTAGCCAAATCACAGTTCAAACGATAGTCTGTCCAACAAGCAATGTAGAAACGATAAAATGGGGTTACACATCCAACCTTCACTTCTCACCAGCAAAAATGCGTGTTCGTCCGCCAAGCTCAGAAAATCCAATCTCTATTTATTACTGTATACTTATACAATAATTATGGCATATGGCCGAAAGGGGAAGAGGGGAGAGGCTGGTCTTCACTTAGCTAATCTGATCCACGACCATTACAATTTCCACATTCACCATAAAAACGCGTCCGTCACCAATCAGTCCTCCATACACCATAATACCGCACCCTCTCAAGGGATCTTACAAACCACGCCCCAAGCCATAAAAATCTGATGATGCTAAAATTTATAATTAAAAATCTATGGATGACTAAAATGAGAGGGGAGGGAATGAACCCCCAAAACAAACTAAACATGAACACAAAGTAAACTAAACATAGCTGATGTTAGTAGGGCCGGTCCAATCCTCAAAAATTGGACAAAATCAAGAAGCTCTCTCTCACTAAGGGAGTGAAAAAGGAGAAAATATATACGAGCAAGGGAAATATAAAAGCTGACCCAGTCAAGATGAAAAAATTGGACCAAAACAAACTGGAGAGGTTGGGAATCTCGACTTGGATCATAACCAAAGATGAAGCCGGGAACAGGTCAGGAACAACACTTACTCACATTAACTAGATACACAAAAACTTGTCTAATCTAACCAAGGGGAGGGCTCCAAAGGAAACCACCCCAATGTGACATAGGTTGACCTAAAAGAGAAAATCAAGGCTAGCCCCGTTCAAACGAACCAAGCTCGCCTCTGTCACCCACCTTTCGCTGAAGACTGTCGAATGCAAACGTTTTCTATTAGTTCTAATCTTCATCTTGAGCTGATGCTCAAAGAATCGGATCAGATCCTGAGGAGAAAGACGGTTGTCTCACAAGATTTCCTCCTGTCGCGACGTCCAAATCACTATTCGGGCCGTGGCCAGCAGCGTCAGAATAACCATTCGTTTCACCCCAGAATACGGGGGCGACACATTGTCACACGCGTATGCGCGATCCATGAGCACGACCTTTTCGGAAGCGAGACGAGCTGTCAACTCGCCGACATGGTGCCATAAGGGGCGGTCCCGGGACAATGATAGAAGGCGTGCGAAGCCGTTTCTTTTAACCCAAGGTCACACCGTTCACAGTCATGCAAATCCGCCAAGCCCCATATGAAGTTCTTGTCATTGAGAGACAACCGTTTCCGAGCCAATCGCCATGTAAGCGAAAACTCAGAGTTACTGAGATAATCCGCCACTGGCGCCCAAGACCATAAAGAGCGAAACTCCTCCTCCTCCAAATCGAGCCGCTCACGTAGAGGATCCTTCGCGACCCACTCCACTAAATAACGATAGAGGACCTTCCTAGACCATGAAAGGTCACTGCACCGAGGAATGATCGTCAAGGCGTACCGACACTCGCGAAGGAAAACGGATTGATCCCGGGGCTTACGACAGCGCTCAGCCCGCGAGTGGAGGGATTGATAGTAAGGAAAGCGAACGCGTCCCTAACAATCCCTGCTATAATCGAATCTCCTGTCAATGCACGGCGAAAGCCAACATCAAGGCGAGTTTGTGAGTCGCCAAGTGTGGCATTCCCAGCCTCCCATGATACGGACGTTGTGCACAGACTTCTCTGTCGATAAGATGCTTGTCCCCTCCATTAAATGAAGGATAACGAGCGCTCGATCGGCTACTTATGATTCTTTCTGAGAGGAAGTACGGACAATCGAGAAAACGCGTGTAGCACACGCCTCCGCCCTGCCCTTCACGGACAACCTCCGTCGACGCCAAGTCTGACCGGCCGTGTCGGCCTTTGCTCGTACTGGAGAAAAATTGGTCTGAATTTTTCTCCAGCTGGAGGTTGGGTCCAAAACCATACTCCAGGAATGCGGACAGGACCGTCTGTTTAACCGAAGCGTCCCGGAATATCGACCCCCTTCCAGGCACCTAACCGCAAGCCGGACGACTTGTTGCGGTTTATCTTGGCCCCTGTCACTTTTTCGTACCGATCAAGCGCCTTCGGTACCACCTCAATATTGCTCCGGGATAACACGAAAGTAGATACGTCATCGGCACACGGAGAAACCCTGGCTCGAGTCCCTCCAGGAACGGCGATTCCACGTACGGCCGGACTGCATGCCCTGTCCCTCAGTCGGCGAAGGAGAGGCTCCAACGCCACAGCATAAAGTAAGGCCGACAGTGGACAGACCTGACGAACCGACCTAGACAGCGCAAAAGCACACGGCAACTTCCCGTTCACCTGTATCACAGCATTGGGGGAGCGATACAGAAGGCTAATCCAGCGGAAGAAGTCGGGTTCGAATCCGGCGGCCTGCAATGTGCTTAAAAAGTGGCCTCAAGTGGGCTTTCTTCTGGGAGGAAATGTCCCTCTCAAGGAACTCACGGTTCACCATGGGATTTATTGGGAGAGAGAGATGGGGTAGACGGAGCCCTAATAAGGGAAGAGTGGTAGATTCTTGTCATACCTTGCTGGAGATCCTTTTCTGATGGTGAAGCAGGCGCGGATTGTGCTTTTTCCGCCCTACCCGGTCCGCTCTCCTTTCTTTCTTGGTGTTGGTAATAAAGTCCTCTTCCTCCTCTTTGTCATCGCCCCTTCCTCTCTTTAATGATTAGGTTTTGTTGAGGCAACTTCACCACCACATGTTCAGGTTGGACCTCTTTTCCGGCCTGTTGTTGTTGCTGCACCGGCTTCTCCTGCTTCTGCTGCTGTTGCTGCTCACACTGTTGCTCGCATTGCTGATCCCACAGTTTCTGTCGCTGCTCCCGCTGCTGCTACGTCTGCTGCTGCTTCAGCTGCTTTTCATTTTGCTTAGCAGCTCCTTTGCTGGGGACATCCGGCTTCTGTTGCTGTTTGGAAGCACCCTTGTCTGGGACGTCCTGTTTTTACTGTTGTTTAGCAGCACCTTTATCTGAGAGGTGGAGTTGACACCTTTGTTCCCCTCCTCACCAGTCCATTCGCTACCGGAGGCCTTCTTTGTTACTTCCTCCCTGGGCTGCTCTGGTGTTGGTAAAGGTGACTGCTTCGTCTGTGGTACTGGCTTCTTGGTTGGACACAACTTGGCCAAGTGTCCGTCCGCACCGCAAGCCCAACAGGAGGGGTGACGACCCTCGACAACAACAAAAATGCTTCGGTCGCCACAGGAAATGATATTGGGTATCTCATTAAACTTTATCCGGGTCAATGTCACCATGACCTCAACATCATTGGTGGCAATATCCGAGTTACTTTTGATGGAAGATACTCCATCTACAGGCTTATAATCCGAAAAGAAGGACCCCCACCCCAATTGATCTTCTGTGATGCACACCGTGTAAGGTAATCCGTGTTTTCCGGGTGCCCATGTACTCTGTTTGTAGTCTCATCGTTTTAGTGGTGAGGGTGATTCTAGCCAATGTTTTAGCTGCCTCTTCAGTTGCCAGCAGGATATCCCACATAGCGTTAGATCTTCGGGCCAAAACTATGGCCCCAATATTTAAAGCCTTTAGGGCTTCTTCCATTGCCTCCCTGTTGACAGTCGACATCAAGACTAGGAAATTCATGGCTGTCAACAGGGTTGACAGCCATGAATTTCCTAGTCATGACTGTCAACAGGCTGTCAACCTGTTGACAGCCATGAATTTCCTAGTCTTGATGTCGACTGTCAACAGGGAGATTGTCCTAGTTGCCACTGTCTCCATAACAGAAGGCATTAGTAACAGTTCATTTTTTGAGATGAACTCTTTATATTCATCTCGGAGTCTCTTGTAATATTCTGGTCCTTTTTTGG